TAAAGCAAAAATCTCTCTCAAAAAAAAAAAAAAAAGAAACTCCAAAAATATAGGAAAAAATGCAACAGAATTAAAATGACAGACTAAAACATATCCATCTACATAAAACGAAAGAAGGTAATAATGGAGCAGATCTTGGTCTGCTCACCAGCTGCAGAAACAGTGAAAGAAACCACTCTTTTTGTGGCAGGTGGTCAAACTCAACGTCACCCAAGAAGAACTGAAAAAGGCTTTCAGGGGACTGGCTCCAAAGCCTGCTAGATAAGATAGCCTGATCCCACATGGCTGACCACACAGTTCAAGTCTTGGATCTAGAGCTTGAGAAACATGCCAGGTGCAGGTGTGCCTAAAATCCCAAAGCAAAGGAGAGATGGAGGAGGAGATTGCAGCATGACCATTCCCCATGGGGTTTGCTTTCTCTTCTCCCTCTGTTTCTCTGGCTCACAGACATGCTCTCTGACCCAAAGGGGGAAAAAAAAGGCTTACAGTTGGCACTGAAGCACAACCTTGGTAAGAATCCAAATACAGGAGAAAGTCTTACTGCATTTCTCAACCTTATATAGTTTTGTCTTGGGAACCAGCAGGTGTTGTGGTGGTTAAGGTGCTGGACACTCCCACATGGCTGACCACGGTTCAAGTCCTGGACCTGGTGGCTTGCTGTCTCACTTTCTCTCTCTCTCTCTCTCTCTCTGTGTTTCTCTCTGGTCAAATTAAAATAAGTGAATGAATAAATAAATTAAATTAAATAAATAATTCTTCTAAAAATTTTTAAAAAATAAAATTTTCTCTTATGAGAAGAAAAGGATGACCAGGGAGGAAAAAAGACAAAGTAGGAGGGGCAAGTGGTTGTTCTGGCTTCCCCATGGACATCTTTATTATGGTTTTTGGGGACGAGCAGTTAGCGTAATGGCTATGTTGCTGGACTCCCACATAGTCGACCATGGTTTGAGTCCCGGACCCAGTGGCTTAAACTCATGCCAGGCGCGTGTGCGTGCGTGCCCAAGATCCCAAGAGGAGAATGGAGGAGAAGGGACTAC